TCGCGGCAGGCAGCAGGAGGCGGCGCAGCGGGAGGGACCGCGTGGCCCTGGCCGCCCCCTTCTCTCTCTCTCCCGCCCGCTCCCACCCCCTCTGCCCCCCCCCAGCCGGTCCCCCTGTACCCGCGCTCCGGCCGCGCCGCAGGTTTTTGTTTTTTTTTTTGCTTGGGGCGGCCAAAAAGCCAGAGCTGGCCCTGAGTGGAACTATACCAATTTACACCAGACGAGGACCTGGTGCATTAGATCAGAGAGCAGAATGAAACGATACCACAGAACAGCAGTAAGAACACTCACATAACAGAATAGATGTCCTCACCAATCTCTGAGAGTAACAGGCATCACACACCATCTGGTGGAACTTAGAACCCCAACACATGCGTCTGCCATCGCACAGCAGTAACAGCACTGAGGCTGGCCGTTAATTTTGCTCTTAATTAAAGCACATGCATACTCCTTCTTTTTAACTCCAGCCGCCCCCACCCCTGAATTATTATTATTATTATGCACAGCACAGTCCTAGAACTGACAGGGATGTTTGTTAAACATAATTAAGGATATTAATTTTGCATGGAACAGAAGCCACAGAGCCAAGAACTATACTTTCCCCCCCTCAAATCTCCCATTAGAAAATTACCTTCATTAGCACCGACTCGCTGAGCTTCTCTCTGTTGACAATTTTTATCGCGACCTTTTGACATGTTACACAGTGAACCCCCAACTTCACAAGCCCTGCAGGAAAAACAGAGAGATAGAGAGAGAAAGATGGTTAGAGACATCCCCCCGTTAAGCTCTTTGCTGTTAGCATCTTACATGGCAGTTTGGCTATTTATATGCAAATGTTTTTCCATTAGTCCTTCTTACTCCCAGGGAAAAAAAGCCTGTGAATAATGAATAAACTGTAGAAGATCCGGCAGCACTAGGAGTTAACCCACGTCTACACTAGGAACGCTTTGAGAGTATAGCTATATTGGTATACTATACTGGCAAAGCACTTCTAATGCAGACGTAGCTTATACCAGTAAAACTGAGCTTTTGCCAGAATTGCTTATTCCGGCCCCCACTAAGAGAAATGATCTATACTGGCTCAAGAGCAGTTCTTCCCATATAACTATGTCTACAGAGGGGGCTTTTGCCAGCACAGCTATATCGGTCAGGGATCATACCTCTTCACTCCACTGATTAACGTAGCTGTGCTGGCAAAATTCCATAGTGCAGACTTGGCCTAAGATGACTTCCAGGTTCTCCCAGTGCTGCCACAATTAATGGGGCTGTCATCTTTCTATTTCAGTCTCTCCTGCTGGACAAAATGGACATTGTGATGTAATGTTATCACAGCGTGCAAAAGCATCAACATGTTCTGATGCAATGATTCAACCCAATGATGGTTTCCTGACCCAAAATAATTTTCAGGGCAGTTATATGGTCATACATGCAACAGACCATTTATCTAGATGATACCACAACATTTGGGACAGAGACAAACCTAAAAAAACTAAAATAAAACCAACCAGTAACTGGCACTAGGGGTATCAATAGCTATTACAGATTATAGGTCAAATTCTTCTTTTATTTACAACAGTGCAAATCTGGAGTAACTCCAATGAGATCGCTCAATTTACACTAGTGTCAAACTAGCATTTGTCCCTTTACCTCTCAACTTCCCTTCCATAAAGTACGGTTCTGCTCTGAAAGGTAGCAGCATAAAAATGACACCTTCTTACTCAACAGATCTACTTCCTGTGTGTATTCAATCAGATCTGCCTGCGTTAGTGACTAAAATAAGTTTTACTGCTTTTTACTCCCATCAGCGCTGCAGAGTCAACACAGCTGCAGGAGACTATGCTGGATTCTATTACTTCTTGTGCATCATCAACAGAATTGTCTACTAAGTTTGAATCAGTGAGACCTGTGCAACCCATGGCACTGCACAGGGGGTCACCAAGGGCCAGTGTGGCCTGTAAAGCCTTTATTATTGCTGATAATGCACAAAATGGAAAGAATCCTGCTTAATTCTCAGAGCCCAGACTGGGGTTTAGAGTTAGGAGGAAAAATCCATCTTTTTACTTATAAGCTGAATATAGTGGATTTGGATCCTTGAGAGACAATGAACATGGGGAGGCCTTTTCACAGACTATTCATGACAAACCACACATCCAGATGGACCCACGTTAGCCCTTGTCTCAGAAAGATCTGGCCCCAGTGGAGTGAACGGGGGTTCTACCACTAAATCCAATGGTTTGTCCTCAGAGGTATGCCTACTTTTTAATCTTACTGTAAATCATAATTTTGGAACTGTGAAACAGAGGTTCTGGGGGAAATACCCTGGTTTATGCCCAAGAAATGAACCCCACCCACCTTTCTAGCTCCCTCCCTCTTCTGCACTCTGCTCACCTTTGTTGGAACTTTCTCGTCACACACCACACATCCCGTGTTCAGACTCAGCTGGTCAAGTGCTGACACGGCACAAAGCAGTTTTACTTTTCAGCCATAACATAAACGAGTCATAGAAACTAAGAGCTCAGCAATGACAAACCCATTTGAAATTAGGTCCAGCAACAGTCTGCCCACTGCCTTGGGCAACTCCCAGCAGCCAGCTGTGCTACGACCAGACCACAATCCCACATCTAAATTCAGTCTACTCAATAAACTAATAGCATTGCTGGCCCCACATTCACCTCTCCCAGCAGCTGCAATGCTACCGCTGCTGCTCCTCTTTGGCTCCACTCCTTTGATTGGACAGCGACTCCTTGGCACTACTCGCTTGTGGCTATGCACAGATTTACTCTGTGTCCATCGCTTTCCCCTGGCCTCCAATGAGCTCTGAATCTTTTGCAAAAAAAAGTGCATCATGTTTGTATCATCCTTAACTCTTCCCCCCGCCCCCCTACTAAAATACTCTGGCTTAACTTCCAGTTGTATTCTTTGTAGCTGGATTTCCAGCAGTCCCACTGTTGCAATGGCACAACACTGCATTGTTGCACCATGCAGAACACTGCCTGCGAGAAGACAAAAGGCTAACCTGAAGCAGCAGTGTGCTCCCCTAAGGTACTGTGTTGAATTGCTGGTACCTTAGATTGCAGGATCTGAATTTAAATGTGTTGTTCACAATTAAAGATGAGATGGAGATTACTTATCTGTAACTGGAAGTTGTGAGTTCCCTATCTGTATCCCACACGTAGGTAAACGTGTGCCACACGTCCAAGTCTGGAGATTTTTAGTACGCAGTGTCCATTGGCCCACATGTGCACAGTTGCTCTCTTTGTGCTCCAGACAGAGGGCATAAGAGATAGTGCAAGCTGACACCTCTCTATTTCCTCTTCTTACCATGAATCAGATAAGATCCAAAGCAGAGGGAAAGGAGGGGCAGTTAGTGGAATATAAATAGGAACCATGCATCTCAAGAACTTCCAGTTACAGGTAAGTAACCTCCATTTCTTCTTTGAGGGCTGGTCCTTGTGTGTATTCCACATGTGGATGCCTGACAAGCAGTATACAGACTGGGGCTGGGTGGGTAGATGCAAGGATGCAGTCAGTAAAGATGCTTGAAGAACTGCAGTCCCTACAGCCACATCTGCAGAGGAGGCCTGAACTAGCACATAATATTTTGTGAATGTGTGAATGGAGCTCCAGGTAGCTGCTCTGCACATGTCCAGTATCGGTACCTCCTGGAGCGATGCTGTGGAGGTAGCTTGTGCTCTCCTTTTGGGGGAGGGATATGTGCTAATTGATAGCACACAGTGATGCAAGCAGAAATCCATTCAGAGATTCTCTAAGAAGATATCACTTGTCCTCGTGACCTTTCTGCTATAGTGACAAATAATCTGGTTTGGCCCTTTACAGGTAGAATGCCAGGGCTCGTCTGACATCCAGAGAATAAATTCCTTTCTCATCAACAGATGCATGGGGTTTCGGGAAGAAAACCAGTAAATGGATAGGTTGGTTGACATGCAATTCAGAAATTACTTTAGGGAGTAACTAAGGATGATGGCAAAGAGAGTCTTTCTCCTTGTGAAAAATGGTGTATGGTGGGTCAGCATCTTGCTCACTATTCTGGCCAAAGTAATAGCAACTGAAAATGCGACCTTCATGGAACGGTGGGACAGAGAGGATGTGGCCAAAAGTTCAAATGGTAGTCTGGTACCTATTAACAGGATGAGACGGAGGTCGGATTGACCACTGGCAGGAAGGACCTGACTAGGCCTTTCAGGAATCTAACCATTGTTGGATGAGTGAAAATGGAATGCCTGTGTACTGACCCTGACTACTGTAAGATGGACCCACAGTGAGCTAATGGAAAGACCTGAATTCTTCAATGGCAGAAGATAATTTAAAACAGCTGGGATATCTGCAGGTTCTGAGGAAGACAGATTGTGCCTTGCCCAGGCGGAGAAGCGTCTCCATTCAGCTAAGTAGCAGTTCCGAGTGGAATCTTTCCTTCACAGTTGTTTTAGTTCTGATGCCTGTTCAAAACCAGGCTGTAAGATCATGTGGGTCTGGATTGGGATGTCTGATTTTGCCATTCTCCTGAACAAGAAGATCCAGGAAGGGGTGGATCCTGACAGGAGGATGGGCTGACATTCTCAAACCAGTCCAGAACTGTCTGGACCAATCCAGTGCTATGAGAATGACTCTGGCCTTGTTGAAATGGAAATTTCTCACATCCTGTGATAGCAGAGGGATGGGAGGAAAGGCATATCTAAGTCGGTTTGTCCATGATGAGAGGAGAGCGTCACCCTAGGAATTGCGGCCCACAGCTGCTCTGGAGCAGCATAGGAGAAGTTTCCTGTTCATTTAGGATGCAAGGAGATCCCACTGAGGTATTCCCCGAGGAGTGAATATCTCGTACTGGACAGAGTTATGTATTTCCCACTCATGGTCTGCAGAGGAGTGCCTGCTAAAAAATATAATAATAATATACACCTATCTCCTAGAACTGGAAGAGACCTTGAAAGGTGATTGAGTCCAGCCCCCTACCTTCACTATCAGGACCAAGTACTGATTTTTGCCCCAGGCCCCTAAGTGGCCCCCTCAAGGGCTGAACTCACAACCCTGGGTTTAACAGGTCAATGCTCAAACCACTGAGCTATCCCTCACCTGAAATTGGCTGCTTGAAGCGGGGGCTGATATGGCCGAAGAGACAGGTCTATCACTCTTAGATGGACCCAGTGGATGCTGGTCTTTATGTTTAGGAGTTGGAACCAATGATGATACGAATGATCCTTTTTATTTCATACTTTACCCTCTTTCCCGGGGTTCTCAAGTGATACTGAGCCCTTAGAATTTGCTCGTGAAGGCTCACCTGACCAGGATGAATTAGGGGAGGGAGTCTCTTCTTTTAGAAGCACAGCTGGAGGGGGGAATCTGTCCTGATGACAGTTCTAGGCTCCACTCCTAAGCTCGTGCCTGGAGGCTGATGTACCAGGGGGTCTTTCTGGCCCAAATCAGAGTCAGGTCTCATGGCCTTCTCCATAAAGTGTTTCCTCAAACTTAGGCTCACAAGCTGTGTGTGTTCGCAGGGGAAATGAGTGGCAAATGCTGCACTTTGCTGAGATATGTATTCACACAGAAAGGAGAGGCAGCATTGGTGCTTGTCACTCACAAAGAAGGAGCAAGGACAAGAGATGCAATTCTTGAGCCCCGGGACTCTGGGCACAGTCCCAGTCTGTGGGGAGGGACTCCCTGAAAGGGGAGAAACTAAGCTAAACTAACTATAAACTACTATATCACAA